CATGGGGGGTGGTTTGCATATCGCTTCTAGGCACCGCTGCACCTCCTCCCTTCAAGCTCCCACCCAGGCCGCAGAGGAGAGGTTTTGCGGTTATCCTCTGCAGCACGGGTCTGTTGCATCAGTGGAGTGGGAGCCCTCTCAAGGAAATTTTTTTTTTTTTAATGCACAGGAAACTATCTGATATTTTTCACCTAAGAGCCAAGAACACAAAGTAGATTCCAAATCTTAGGCACCTGTGAAAACGATAATCATGTTCAGTAAAATCAGAGACACCTCTCATTCCACCTGCTAATGTCACATGACTTACACACTGCCACAGGAGGACTGAGGTTTGTATGGAGTATGGGCAGGTTGGTGACCTGCACCACCGAGACAGTGCAAGAGCAGAGCAGAGAGCTTCACGTACAGCCGCGTAAGCTAGCATGCTGGTCCCAAGTTTCCATAGGAGAACTAACAGCATCCACAAAGCCACGGTAAGGGGACCTTTGTTTCAGAGGGTCGCCATTTTTATTTTTAAGACCATTACTGACTAGCTCTTGCACTATCTTACCGAAAGCTCCCCCTGCTCACTCAGCCAGAGTTTACGCATAATGGCATCATAACAGTGAGAAAGAAGACCCCACTTGAAACACTGAGCAGAATGCAGAAAGCAGAGGTATGGAACACAACACTGGCTTGGTCTTGCTTTCTTACTTGGGGGGCCCTGCATGTTGATTGTCCTATCCCTTTCCTGTGGTTCAGAAGCCACAGAACACATGGGACGGTCACATTCTCACCCAATCCAGTGAGTAAAACCTGCCTCTCCCAAGCTCTGGCCACACTGTCAGTAATCCTCAAAACCAAGCAGTCAAACAGACATGCAGCACTGACTAGCCGGGAAATGCCATCATCTCAGAGGCAGGCGAGCAGTGGAGGGGGGTGGGGGTTGCTGATTGTTTAGGGAGAAGATGGTCAGCCTCGATAGTGAAATAACAGAAATATTATAAACTCATAGCTTTAGTAAGGGCTAAACTGAAGCTCTCTCTGCTCTCTGCTTTCTTTTTCCTCTCCTTAACTGACTGATGGAAAAATCCAACAGGAGCCCAGCAGACAAAAGGGAAATGTAAACTTTCTTTACGAATCACTAGACCTATTGACTAAATCAGCCTTTCAGTATTTGTTCCCATAGCCACAGGTGGTTCCTAAAAAGCAACCAGACAGACAAGGGGTAGGGGGCAAACTGCAGATCTCAAATCCTGCCTAAAATCTTATCTTCAGGGCAAGATCACGACAAGATCTCTAACAGCCACTTCTGCTAAGAAGAAGTTTTACACAGCAGATTCACTCATCTGTCTGAGGCCCCAAGAAGAATAGAGGGAGCAGAAGTGGCACTTCGCAGAACTCTGTTGATTTGACTATAGCCACAAATCATCCTTCCCTAAATAAAGAGTCTGAATAACTGGTTTTCTAGGCTAACACATCCTTTTTCCACCTCTGTGTGTTGGCCCTTTCCCACCTGAAAAAGCAAATAAACTTCTTTCTATCCTAATCTTTGGAGAATTTTTTCTCAAAACCCACAGAGCACCTACTGAGCTTTCCACCCTAACAATTAGGACAACATGGAATGGTCCCCACAGAACCCAAAGCAGCCATTTCCTCTGTGTGTGTGTGTGTGTGTGTGTGTGAATGAGAGGTGTCTGTCCATAGTGCATTAATCCATGAAGTAATCCAAGGGAACCGTAAGTACAATTTACTGCAAATAGCAACAGCTTAAAATTCCTTAGTCTTAACACCATGCAAAAAATGCCCACATAGCAAGAGCCCTCGGGGTGACAGTGTGCTAAAGAGCCACCAGGGAGGATGGAGAAAGCCTACATAGTACACAATCCTAATTTGGACTCCATTCTCTCAAGTACATCTGGTCCCCATCAATCACCCCACAAAACAAATCCCAAATGGCAGGAGACCAAGCTCTTACCTTAACCTAAAATGGGTAGGCCCATTAGTCAGTATCCATAAATCCAACTTGTAACTTTCTTCCTAAATTTAACTTATGGACTAGGGAATGTTATCAGAGAATTGAACAACTAAAAGGGGCCTTGATTATTATCTGTGCTCAACTAATACGATGTGCAGACGAGGTGACAAGAGCTCCAGGCAGGGAACTGGTGCGCCCAGGACACCCTTACCCAACCCCAACTACTACCCCTTACCCCCAAATTCCAGGCATCATTATTGGGTATTGAGGCGTCATCTCTCCAAATTGTCCTTGGCTCTCACCAGTAAGCCTCCAGGTCTGTTACTAAAGAAAAATTCAGGGCCCAATTGCCAGGTGAAGCCAAAGACACTGCCCACTGAAGATCACAGACACGCACACGCCTTCCCCGTGTGCCAGATGGAAACCTGCACTCCACTTTCGGGGGAGGGTGGGAGTGCAGCTTGCACAAGGAGGGCTGTGCTGGGGCATGTATGGAGCAAGCGGCAGCTTTGCCTTATCCACGTGTATTCTACACGCTATTTGCCCCCATCTAGAAAAGGGAACACTGTCCTCCTCTCCTCAAACCTTAGCTTATAGGAAGAGGAATTTAACCTCTTAACCCTCTCTCAGCTTCTCCTCGGGAGACTACTCTATAGTTTTCTAAACACTTTGCTTATTTAGTGGATCAATCTCCATAGAGAGTCTTCTCTGATTTTATTCATCAGGGCTTCAGCCCACTGTCCTCAGGGAATGGGTTATACAAAAAGACTGTTGTGCTCTCAGCCTGAAGCTATTTTTGATCCTTGTGTCTTACTACAGTTCCACTCACTGGGGGAGGCGCCTGTGTGCACACCAACACACGCCCCTGTTCCATTTGGTAGAGTACGCAGCTTAGTGCTTTGAAGTGTTTTATGCCTGCAAGATAAGCAAGTAAAGTGCAAAAGAGTGCTTTCCAAGGGCATTTCTAACACTATGGAAAGGGTGCCACATACATACGGCCGTCTCAAAAGCAAACCAAAACAAACAAAAAATACCTATGATACCCTATGATAGGTATCTGCAAGGGAGACCTTTTAGGTCATGCTTGCACAAAGACCTTGTTCCCTTTTAGTGGTAAAGACTCCCCATCTTCTCCCCACCTCTGTGGGGAGCTGTGTTGAGGAAGCTAGAAAAACACACATACACACAAAACACACACACACAAGGGTGCATGACACAGAAACTGTAGCAAAGTTAAAAGCAGACTTTGGTCAGACTTTGAATACCAGTTCTACCACCTTCATGCTATGTGCCCCACCGTGTAAGTTCCTTAACTGCCCTGAGCCTTCATGTCCTCATCTACATAATGGGCTTGCAAAGACTTCCCTCAGAGTATCATGAGGTTTCAGTGAGCTGATGTTCATAAAGTGCCTAACCCAGTGCCTGGCCCATGGACGGCACTGGATACATGATAGGAAAGCCTCGTTGCCAGATCTGACTATCAGGCCTGGAATTGGAACCCACTGCTGTAAGGAAGGTCCCTGGTAAAATGACTGAGATCCATGGACAGTTTAATCCGGAAACTTCGACTTGTCAGAATAAGAGAGAAAGTCTCGGTTATTGACAGATTCCTTAAAACCCACTAGGTCAGGCTGGAACTATGCGCATGGTAAAAACATGGGATCCATAGCTGCATAGACATCATTTCCCAAGTGGAGAAGTTAATCCGGACCTGCCTTAGATAGAAAGGACCTCGTCAAAGTTGATTATTATTTAGTTCCTTCTCCAAGCCAATGCTAGAACTCTAACTGGAGCCTGAAGGTATTCTGGAGGTGAGGACGGAGGACAGCATGTGCTCCATGCAGGGGAGAGCTGTGAATTTTTGAGAATTGAGCAAGGACTGGTCTTCCATGATGCCCGTGGCCAAGGATGTAGTGCGTATAACTTTATCTGGAAGTCATAAAGCTCTAGATAGCTTTTGGAGCCTTCCACTAGTACTGTGATTTTTCTTTTGCTAAATCCATATGTGGGTTAGTTATGTGAAATTCCATGAATTCTCCAAAAGGTTGTAGTAAGCCTGGAAGGCCCATAACCAGCAACTTCCTGGTGTTGCCAGGTCCAGAAGTTTAAGTGTGTGGCCCAAATAGTTGACCTTGACCCAGCACAACGACCAGTCAACTACAAAAATTGAGGGACACAAAAGAGGACAGCTTCCTTACATACTTTGCCCATTTGGATAAAAATCCATTAAAGAAATTATCCTCTCAAAGCCTATGACTAGCCATTCCCCCACTTCCTTTCACTTGAATCTTCTATCCTCAGGGGACAACCATAATTATCCTGTATTGGCTATTGTTTGTCTAGACTCAATCGCAGGGGTGGTCTAGTTTTAGTAACTAACAGGTATGAGATGAAACAGGCAAAAAGGTGATATTTTCAGAACAAAGGAATGCCCAAACATAAAAGTAAAATAAAATATTTTAAATACTTCTCAGCATTATTTCTAACAGGAATTAATGGCACTTATGATGCAAGCAATAAAAACATTTCAAGCTTACTATACAAGGGTTGGGTGAGAGATTAATCTTCCTTGCGTTTGGAAATAGCAAGATTGGATGTCATAACAAGGTCTACCCTAAAACACCCAAAGGGACGAAAAGCCCTGAGATGGAAAGATGCCATGGTCCTCCTTGGTATGTCTCAGAAAAGCAGGATGTCTATTTTTATAAAAATTTGGGATTAGCTAGACAGAACAGCAAGCCACTGGCATCATGCAAGGCAATAGTTTTGGTATTTTCCCCCCTCTCATCAAAACGAGTTATAACCTAAGTCCCACTAGAAAAGTGAACATGGATGTTTCATAACCAGTTTATTTCCACCATTGCACCCGCTGAGGAAAATGCGTGATTGGCCTGTAACCATGCAGCGGCTGATGCTGAGTGCACGATCATTTTGACTACCTACCCCTGCAAGAAAGACCAAACTCAGTAGGCTTCTGTCATTGGTTAAGGTAGTATCCACAGTGTGATGTGTTTTTGATTTTGTAATTTTTTTTTCTTTTGCAATGAGAAAAGCAATTGCACCTTTTAATACATGTGCTCTGATCTGCTTCCAACAAATTCCAGGTGCTCTCCGGTCCCACAGGCATCATTTGGAGCATTATGCACTGAATGGTTTGTATCAAAATTCAAGCTCAGAGCACATGCCAAACAGTCAACTCTAACCCTAGTTATAGTTACCAGTTCACCCCCCAATCAGGTCCCCTTCTGCATGTGCACAAAATTCTAAAAGACACACCTGTTCCCTTCAGGAGGCTGGTCTACGGAATAGCTGCCCTTGTCTACGTGTCATGCCAGGGTGCTGCTGCACAGTGGTGCCACAGCACTGCCACTAAAACACCCCTAACATGCACAGCTGTAACCTGCTATGTGTATGAACACTCCCCATGTGTCCCGCGGTTGCTATCTGACACAAAGTTCTTGTCCTTTGATTCCTTTTGGCAGAGCAAGCTTTCAGTTGTTTATGGCACAGTGAAATATATTCTCCAATGCTATGTAATTTTGGACTAACAAGAAGTCTGTTTAAGGCACGTGTCTCAGTGTGAATACAAAAAACAAAAACAAAAAACCAACGCTCAATCTGAGTCCAAAGTCCTTCACATTTAGTTTCTGTCTTCAAGTAATGAGTTGTTTTCATTCTCCAGCTCCCCGTCTTTGGTGTCCGTGGGTACCATTCCGTTCTCCAGCTCCGCCTGCTGCTGGATACAGTCAGTCAGCACGGCTGTGCTGGAGTTGTCCGAGTTACACATCTTTTCTGTCTCTTCCTCTTTCTTCTCTTCATCCAGGGAGTAATTCCGGAAGGTCTTGTAGATTTTCTGGACGTCCTCGGGCAAGGCCTTTCTGAGGTCCTTGTTTTTCCTCTTGGTGAGTCTGGAGGTGGACCCCAGCTTGTTGATAATGTTGTCCTCGGAGGCGCCTTGCCCGTGTTTGTTCAGCTGCTCCGACCCCTTAAGGCGCAGGTTGTTGGGCCGGTTGTTGATGCTCTCCTGGGACGAGGCCTTGAAGCGGCCCGTGTCCAGGGCGGCGAAGACAGAGCGCTTCTCCGGGGACAGCATGTCCAGCGAGTGGGCCCTCTGGTCCAGGCCCAGCCGCCGCCGCTCCATGCTGCGGATGGTGGCCGCCCGCTGCAGCTTGTCGTGGATCTCCACGCTGAGCCGTCGCCGTGTCTCCCGGAACTCGGCGGTCACGTTGGCCTTCCACTCGGCCGCGTGGGCCTTGATCTCGCCAACCTGGCCAAGAGACAGAAGAGCACCAACACACTGAGAAACGCCTCCCTCCCTCCCTCAAGCTCCCCAGGGCCCCCCAGCCTTGGGGTCCCTGTGGGGTCCATGGCTCAGGGAAGGCCCAGGACTTCTCAGCAACCCCCCTTGCAACGCCCATCCTGAATTGGCCAGCAAGAGATGCTGCTCAAGGAAGCACACATGGCAGAGGACCCAAAGGAAGGCTGGAATTTGGAGATGGTGACCGAATGACAGGCAGGCAGCTTTCTGGGGAAGAGACTGAAACTTGGGATTGGACAGACCTGGCTTCCAGGTGTGTTTTCACTCTTGTTAATCCTTTGGCCTCACTGCCTCAACATAAACTGGGATAATCCCATCTACCTCACGGAGTTTGTGTAGCTTTATTACGTGAGATGAGGAAATGCACCCAGCTCAGTCCTGGGGGCAGAGGAGGTGCTCAGCAGGCCCCAGGCCCTCTCTGTCCCGACAGCTCTACCTGGACAACCTTTCCAAGTTTGCCTGGGATAGTCCCAGGGTTTTTTGTTTGTTTGTTTGTTTGTTTTTTGCAGTTTTTGGCTGGGGCTGGATTTGAACCTGCTACCTCCAGCATCAGGGGCCCATGCCCTACTCCTTTGAGCCACAGGCGCCACCCATCCCAGTTTTAAAATGGGAAGTCTTTGGGCCTAGGAATCCCTTCAGTCCTGGGCAAACTGGGAAGGGAGGTTAACCCATCTCTGGGCCATAGTATGGCCTTGGGCTATGGGGCTTGCCCTGGATTAAGAAGATCCTTCAGGTTGCCTGGGACCAAATGTTGCTGGGCAGAGTGTAGGAAGAGGGCACTTCACTTTGTTTAGAGTGAAGTTTTGCCTGAGGATCAGCATTGGATTTCTTGGCTCTTTTTTTTTTTTTTTTTGAGACAGAGCCTCAAGCTGTCCCCCTGGGTAGAGTGCCATGGCTTCACTGCTCACAGCAACCTCCAACTCCTGGGCTCAAGCGAGTCTCCTGCCTCAGCCTCCCAAGCAGCTGGGACCACAGGCGCCCGCTACAATGCCTGGCTATTTTTTGGTTGTAGCCATTATTGTTGTTTGGCGGGTCCAGGCTGGATTCGAACCCGCCACCTTACGTGTATGTGGCTGGCGCCTTAGCCGCTTGAGCCATAGGCGCCAAGCCGGATTTCTTGGCTCTTAATCAACAAAGCAGACATTTTAGTTCCATGCTTCCCTACGCAGGTGAGTAACTAAGTTTTTGCACTCAGGAAAGTCACTATTTATGTTGTTCCTTTCCCTCTACTATAAGCTGATTTTCAGCAGATCAGTGAGCTCTCCGGGGAATCACACTGGAAACTGCATTCATAGTGCTTATGTCAGCCAGGAAAATTAACCCTGGGGCCCAATAAAATGATACAGGAAATTTCTCCACTTGGTGACTTTCTCCTGGGGCCTTTCGTATAGAATGAGGTACACAGAGGCTGTCCCTCCCCTTATTTCTTTGGGTTTGCTTATCTCCCTTCCTTTCTCTTTGGCTCTTTCTCTCTCCTTCCCTTGCCTTCCTCCTTTCTTTTCCTCTCTTCCTAGAAGAACTAACTATGTGGACATTTTTTTTAATCCCCAAATCTGTCTTTCCTTCTTATGTCTTCCTTTTCTTGCCTCTGTAGCAGGTTTTCATGTAAATTGATATGCACAGCCCCGGCCTGTCTCTACAGATCTGACAACCGGGGGGGACACAGGTGAAAGGGACCCCGTGAGTTTGCTTCCCCATGGCTGGCCACTGTTGGATGACTTCAAATCTCGTACTGACTCGGGGACAATTCTTGGTGTTCAACTGCATTTCCTCCCAGACTCTGAGACCTGAAGGACAGGCTGGCTCTCCTGGGCTCTGGGGAAGTTTTCTATGCTTCCCCCATATTTGCTGATAGGGGGTAAGTGCACACCGACAGCCACAGTCTATTTCTGCTAACTACTTCCAGTCAATTTTTAAAGATTGCTTGCAGTTTACTAGTCTTTCCAGGATTTTTTGGCTGGTAAACAAATCACCTTATTTTTTCATCTGCCAAGAAGAGATCCTGAAATAAGTGCTATTCAACTTGGCTTTGAGGTGATGATTCAAAATGAGGAAGCCCGTGAGCCCCCCACTGAGTGAGAAACTCTCCAACCCACAGAACAGAGACAGACAACTCTTGACACAAGCTCATCTGATCTCAGGAACATTCATAGAGTTGGGAAGGGGTCCTACCTCTTCTTTTGTCTTTTTGGATAGAACCCGTAGCCAATCTCCGATCATACTGAGGACAGCAGCAAAGTAGGCAAGGCCAACAAGGATCCAAAACCACACGAGGGGCTTATACCACTCCCGGTAATTGATGCCAGCGTTTCCCCCTGAAAATAACCAAACGTTACTTTAACCATGATCTAAAGCATGTGGTCTCGGCAGAGCAAACGTATCCCAGTCCGTGTAACAAAGATGTCACTCCATCATCATCTAACACTCAGCTGTTCAACTTGCTAGAAGGACAGGGGTTTCAGAGCAGGGGAAAGATGCATACCTTCTCCCAGAGGAGCCCAAAGGAGGTTTACATCCTCAATACCAGGAATAAAAAATGTCAGCAGCCAACTTGAGCCCCCTGTGCCCAAGCTGAGCATGGACAATGAAAGAGTTGAAGCTACAGGATAAAACGTCGGGCCCTGCTGTCATTGTTTCTTTCCTTAAACTCTCCTGAATTTATTTTAATAAAAATTGAATGTCACTAAATCATCCCATATGGTTTGGAATTCTTGGAACCATTTCCATATTAAGTGTACATGCATTTGCCAGTAGACAAGTAAAATTAGGCCTAATGGCATTACTGAGACTTTGACGCATATAATAGTGATTTAACACTGAGGGATGGTGTTTACATCATGCTGACCCAAAGGGTCAATTAGGCTGAGTAATTAAATCACCATAAGCTAGAACTAAAAGGGACCTTTGAGGCCAGCTAGCCCAATCCCTTTATTTAATAAATAAGGATTACAGTGAAAAAAATCCATCAAACCAAATTGGCCAGTTGCCTTATTACATTGACTGGCTGTTTCATTGAAAGGACTGGTCATTTATTATGAATAATTAGCTTATTTATCCCAGCCCTCCTACAGGCCCTGCTAAAGGCAGCCGTGCAGAACAGGTGCCCAGTCCACTCTCCTGAAGAAGTGAGGAAGCGTCTTGAAATAATAGACATTAGCTTTGTCCTCACTCTGAGAGGCCTTGCTGTCTCTTGAAGCAGGAGGTAGCTGTTCCTAATATGATCAATATTAGCAATGGATTGGTAATTATGGTATTAGATGATGAATAATTATTACACTTTCCCACTGGGTCATGGCTGTAACTTCATCTAGCACCTCTGAGTCCATACTGAGCCCTTCTGGCATCAATAATACCTCACAAAGGCAGCTGGGAAAATACTGCGGCCTGTGGCTCTTCTCAACATGCCCAAATCCAGGCACCCACAAGGTCTTAATTGCAGCTGCCACCTCACTTTAGAATTCCAGCTTCTCTGTGTCAGGCTCCCATTGGTTCAGCTTTGCTGCCTCTGTTTTTGTTTTGTTTCCCCCTCTTTAGGCAACTCTCCCCTGCAGCTTTTTCAGGGTATAATTCGACTTCCTGCAAGGTGAAGTAGTTTTTGAGGTTCAAGTTATTTCCACACTACGCTGGAGAAGTCTAGCTTTCTCAGCTGCTACCCAGGAGTAAACATTTACCTTTGCAAGACACATCACCCAACAAAGATTGTCACTAGGGTGCGCCAGCAAATAAGGCAGTCAACACCCTTCAGCAGCGGCTGGTCTGGATTTGGAGATCTATGTGTTCTCCCTGTCGAGGTTATGAATGCGGTCCTGTTGTTAGGCTGTCCTAAAGTGAGCCAGCTACAAAAGAAGCCAGCAATCAATCCTCTGTGAGCGACGTCCTGATTATACGATCAGAGCTGATACGACGCCAAATCACAGCAACCGTCACTTCTTGTCAATGTATCTTTTTCTAATGATTGAGCAAGCTTTCCTATGGCTCTCAGAATGTACCAAAAAGACAAGTTTCCAGTCCTGTAAGGCATCTCTTCTCCTAAATGGTGTGTGTGAGTCTGGAAACTGGAGTAGTAGGACGGCCCAGTCTTAACTGCAGTCAGCACTTTGAATTACAAGACACCCTGGTCTGCGGAAGCCTCAGACAGAGATGTGGCTCTGTAATCACTAGCCAGGACAGCAAAACTGTGGGGGCTGGGGAACGCACAGGCTGCACCCTCACTGCATAAAAAACAGTAAGGTAAAGTGCTGGCTTGCACTAAGCGCTCAGTCCCTGGTGGATAATAATAAATAATTAAAACCCTAATAATTTTTCTCTTGCTTTTAATAAATAATTTTTTGAAACAAGTCTCACTCTGTTGCACAGGCTAGAATGCCTATGGCATCATAGCTCACTGCAACCTCAAACCCCCGGGTTCCAGCCTCCCAAGTAGCTGGGACTACAGGTGTCCACCACAGCTCTCAGCTAATTTTTCTACTTTTAGTAGAGACAGGGTCTCACTCTTGCTCTGGTTGATCTCAAACTCCTGACTTCAAGCAATTCTCCTGCCTCAGCCTCCCTGCATGCTGTGATTACAGGAATGAGCCACCACGCCGGGCCAAGCATAAATAATTTTTTTTAATCTCATACTCCCAAGGTGCTGCTATTTGTGCCCCAGATTGGCAGACTGAACTGAGCAATTGATTACAGAAGAGTATCTACCACAAGCATCTTATTTATAGTCTGATGGTCCTTGGGACCATCCAGTGCCAGTGCAGAGACCTCTGAAGCACAACCTGCTCCAAATTATGCTTTGGGGTGCTTCAAGAAGTGTATGAAATAGTTCAAAACCCCAGCTGCCATTATTTGTATTTACCTTAGATGGGAACCTTCACTGAGATTTCCCACAGACCAACTGCGATGGTGCTAAGGAATTAATCAGAAGCATGCAACTATTAATTAATAGCCTGCAACTATTTCTGTTTATTTGCTCAGTTTCTCTGTGTGGTTTCTCTTCTGAGTTACTAATCAGACAGCAATGGCTGAGCTCTGTTCACAAGAAAAGACTGGGCGGGGGGGGTGGTCCCAGGCCCAAAACTGTTAACAATTTTTAATCGCTTTGACTTTGCAATTCTTAGTCCTAAGTTGATTTAAAAAAGGGGGGGGGGGAAGGGAATGATGCATACTTTCAAAACAAAACAAAACAAATAAAACCTACTATTTCTACAGAGAGGACTTCAGTCTTCATCTGCCCACTTGGAATAGCTATTAAACCACGTTGTTTGTATTTTAAAATTATACAGAGATATTTGTGCTTCCATTAATTAGTCTTCAATATCCCTTCTAGAATTTTTAATTTATCAGATTCCCAAAGACCAGATATCCACCTCCTGGTGTGTGCCACAGTCCATGGGGAAGCCAAGGCACTGCTGGGGTCAAATGCCAAGGGCAGTCTGCCTGGGGGCTCAGCCTGTGAATACCCACTGCTGCTTAACCAGGAACTGGTCAAGGAAACACACACAGACTACACTCATACATTTGAATGAAAGACATTTGAATTTATGTGTGAGCAAAGCGTTCAGTCCTTGGAGTAGAAAATGATCACTTGTCTGAACACCGAGAACTATCCCATTAGGAGAAGAGGGTGGCCTCTTCCTGCTATTCCTAGGGAATAAAGTGAGCCGAGTCTCATTTCATACTCAGGTGCCCATCCCTAGATGAAATTGATGGTGGTTTTCTTTCCCTTCCTTAAACATAGCTCATTGATACTGATTTTTACAATGCAGGCTATGGCCTCTGTGCGCATTCATTCAGACTCCCATTAGATAATATCCCCTCTGGACAGTTCTTAGTTCCCTGTGGTAACCAAAGCCCTAAGTCTTGTGTCTGGGCACAGCCAGGACAACATTTGCAGGGACAACCGTTCTCGTCTATTAGACAGGAAGCTTAACCTGCAGGTCACGGCAGACCGCTTTCTATGCTAACCTCGCCTGACTTCCATATTTCCCACCTGCTAATAAAGCCTTTATCGTTTGATTCAAGGAGTCTCAATACACAATTCAGAAGATTAAGATTCAATGAGAAATTCATTTTGCTCTTGCATAATTCATATGATGACAAGGGACAGAAGCATCCTGAGAAGGAAGGGGCAGCCTTTCCTTTCATGACAGAAAAACCCTGAGGTGTTTACATTACACAGGGTGAGTGGTGTGAAATGAACCCATCCACAGCAGTAATGACACTGAGTCTTGGTCACCGGCTACTCCTGCAGCATCTTTTACTGTGATTCTGAAAAGCACACCCAATAGATTGTTTTCCCCTCAGAGGCCCCAGTGAGTAGGATGCCCGGGGTGCTTACCTGCTACAAAATCACCAAAGCCCACCGTGGTCAGAGTGACCACCACAAAGTAAATGGACTCCAAGGCTGTCCATCCCTCGATGTATTTAAAAATGACAGCGGGGATCGTCACAAACACAATGCAGCCGGCCAAGATGAACAGGATGGTTGAGATGACCCGGATCTTGGTCTGACTCACTTGCTTCTTCTAGGGAGAACAGAGGAGAAGGAGAGGCAAATGATACAGCTTCGCTATTTGGAAACCTTCCAAACCTTATTTGGAAATGTGGTCTCCGTGTTGAAGGTGGGGCCTGCTAGGAGGTATAGGTCTTTAATGACTTGATACACTGTCTGCCAGGTCTGAGTGAGTTCTCTTAGTAGTCCCCAAAGAATCAGTTGCTAAAAAGAAGCTGGCACCCCCTCCCCTCTCTCTTCTTTCTTGCCCTGTGATCTGCACACACCAGCTCCCCTGCCCTTTCCTCCATTCCTGGAAGCCCTCAACAGAAGCAGATGCTGGCTCCAGGTTTCTTGTACAGTCTTCAGAACCGTGAGTCAAACTTCTCTTCTTTGTAAATTACCCCGCCTCAAGTTTTCCCTTATAACAACGCAAACACCCTAAGATAGCAAGTCAGCATCATCATGCTAGATTCAGAGTACAAATACACACAAAAAGGCATTATCTCGGTGACTGTTAACCTTTCTTAGATCACAGCTACCTGGTGGAAATCTGATGGACGCTATGGAAACTCTCCTGGAAAAATGCAGATACGGAAGTTTCATGTGGTCAAGGAGGTTCTCAGGCCCCTGGAAGCCTATTCACGGACACGAGGTCAAGAAACCCTGCTCAGCTCATGCTTTGGATGTTTCTTCCACGATACCATGACTGCGGCCCAGATAGCAATTCTCATTTCCTCACTAGTGCAAATTACTTCCCAAGAAGGGCTCACTTCCATTTGTTCATGTGGTATTGCTGACCCTCCATCAGAGAAGCATGGGTTTGGAACTCTTTCCCCGATGGCAGTCATGGATTTGCACCTCGTTTCCCTTTGGGTTAAAGAGAATATGCTGGAAAAAATAACCAGACTCAGGCCAAGAGGTTTGGACGAAAAGGAAAATAGAGCCACTCCCATCCTCGTGCGTGACAGACTCTGGCTAAGTGTGTGTTTCCACGCCCAGCTGAGGCTTTACATTTACAACATGTTTTTGTTTTAAAACTCAGGTGTTTGAGGTAGTGCTGTGGTTGTCCTTTTTTTGGCTATATTGACCACAAGAGACATGACGGGAGTCAGTATAATACGGTCACTGCCTAAACGGATAGTAGGAGCTTCATCTCATGCCAGCCTCTGAAAGAGTCAGTAAGTAGTAAAAATGCATTCGGAACAGGAATTAAATACTGGAATAAAGGAATCATGCCAGTGAGGTCCAGGGGTAGACTGATAACATCACTGATCTTCTCTTTTAGTGACTAAAGACTAAAGACACTAGCATTGCCTCTAAGCTGAATAACCCTCGGGTCTTCTCAAAACTCCCAGAATTGGTGCTGGAGACTGTCATCGGGGACCCCTGGATCCCTATACTGTAATAAATGTCAACTATGTGCTTAACACCGGAGTGCAGGGCCTTTCCACATTGCTTAGAGTGATTTTCTACAACTACACTGGTTTGGGGGTGAGTGATGGTGGAAATCTTACCATGAGGTCTCTTTCCTATTCATGGCCTTCTGGTGGGTCAGAAGGCAGAGAATCTCAGCGGAGAGATCTTTACATTCACACACTTCATTTTACAGATGCAACACAGAAGCCAAGAGGGGTTAAGGGACTTGCATAAAACGATGCTGAGGACGACGGACAGAGCCGAGATTAGCATTGTGATGCGATTAACTCTCAGTCCGTCCCCCACTTAGTGCTTTTAAGTTATTCAACAATTCACCAGTTCCAACAAAACGGCCAAAGTGGTCCTCCCCTCACAAAAGAAATCAGACTAACTCCTCCTGAAGGGAGGCCATCCTCTTTTTTAAAAAAAAAGTAGTCACTGGGTGATCTGTCCAGGAGAAGCTAAAGAAATACAATTCTTCTGTATAAAAAGGAGCCACTTCTCTAACTCGTAGAAGGGTACTCATACATAAAGTGGGAACAGGGAAAGATAACTTGGTCTCTCATATAGTTTCCCTCCCCATCACCTCAGAAAAGCTACTTTAAAAATATTACAATTTATTGATATTGTTAAAACCGTATATGAAAACTCCAATTTTTTTCCACACAGGAAAGTATCGTGACAAGGCAAATTACCTGAGAACCACAGGGCATGTTTTTGTCCGTTTCATAAATTTCCATGTTGGAGATTTTAGGAGGACTTGGTAGGGGTGGTTGAGCTCCTCTGAGAAACCAGGAACTTACTTTTTGGCCCAGTTTTGTTTGTACAGAGTGTTGCAAAAGTCTCCCCTAAAGTCACCACACTTAGAGAAAAGGAGAGATTGTAGCTGAATGTACCTTAATTTACAGAATATTCATTACAAAATATTCTCTATGTGTTGGCCACCTCTTTGTTAGCTATGTACGGTGACTCTAGGGGTGACCTTTGGGACACTCTGTAGACATCCATGAAAGTCCAAAGCCACAAAGGAGACTTTGCCATAGATCATTAAGTCAATCTATAATAATTGCTGCCAATGGGTGCATCATTGCTCCCCTCTGTAAATCGTCTTCAAAGCATAAAGAAATTAAAGTGAATTAAATGTGAGATGCTCCTTAAGTCATAATAAATTGGGATGTGAATGTAATTGCAATCTAAATGAGGCTGCGGTTGGCACAGGAGGGCCTCAAGTATGTAGGAAGTGGGGGCAGTCCTGGGCTTCAAGAGAGAGAAGCCGGGAAGGTGTGGAAGGCACAGGAGTGGATTTGTTTGGATTTGTGGCAGAGGAGGAGGAGTATGACAAAGGCTGGGTGGTGGCATCTTCATTGCATCATCTGCAGGAGAGCTCATCAGTGAGGTAAACATCTCGCCCCTGCTCACTGCCCAACAACCACTGTGTCCCAGGCTGCTTGTCCCAGACGTCCCAGGGTGATGCTCAGAGCCGGGAGCATTTAATTATCAGAGTATTTTAGGGACCTAAAAAACGAATGTCTTGCATGTGTATGTGTGTGTGCGTAGGTGTGCAGAAATATGTGTATACACATACTTCACTATAAAAAGAAGAGGTGTGGGTGGAAATTTTAGCAATATCTGTTATTCTGGATACCCATGTTTTTGCTGCCCTCTGGGTATTTAAAAAAAGAAAAGCAGTTGCCTTAATTAAACATTTTAAACTGTAGCTTTCACGATGGAACCACAAACCATCTCCTATTCCTTATCCCCATTAGCCCTGCCACTGTTCACTATGACTGTAAAATAGTAGTAGTGTTTAGAAATACAGAGTCCAGGGACAGGCTGCCTGAGGCACATCCTATCAACCCTGCTAAATAGCTGAGTGACCTTGGGCAAGTTTCTCAACCTCTCTGTGCTAATGAGAATTTTTCCTCTATAAAATAGCAATGTGAAAACCCACCCCATAGGATTGTTTGGAAGAATAAGTATGGAAAAGCTTGGTTCAGTGCCTGGTAATTGTTCGATGATTGTTAAATTTTTAATTCAAATCTTCCCTTAGATGTAGATAGTCCCAGATGTAACGCTTCTCCTTACTGCTGAGGAATGTTTTCCTCATATCCAGCTTAAGCTAATCTTTGTTTAGTTTCATGAGGTCATTGCTGGTTGCCCCTCCCTGGATACATAATCTCATATAATTGCCTCAATGAGAAAAAAAGTCCTCATTCTCCCTTGGTTCTCCTCTGCTGACTCCAGAGTGAGCTCTCAGACAGTCCCAGCTCAAAATCTCAAAAGCTTTTTTAATTTGCCTCCCTATTAATTTTCCCCTCGTTTTTTTTTATCACCCTTTTGAGATTGCCAAGAATGGCAGATAATGTGTACTATGTCAGGAACCAGCTGCAGAGGGGCCCCGAGGGGCATGACCCTCACTCTCCTCACCTCCCCAGCCCAGGTCCCCCGCCCCTTACAGAATGGAGCTGGGTTTCCAGGCGGGGTTGCCAGGCACAGTGGCACTGCTTGTTTACCAGTAAGGAGAGCAGCTGGCAGAGGGCCTTGTGAGAGCCCAGTGCTAGCTGAGCTAATGTGTCCTCAAAATTGTTACCTGTGAAGAGATGGCTTGATACGATGCTTGGGCAGAAGTGATAGGATGGTTGTGTATTTAGGTCCCAATATTGTTTTCACACTTTGGTGACTGGTTAGAATAGAAGACGTGTTCTTCTCTTCTCCTTATGCAAACACTATTATATAAAACTATCTCCCATGTCCGATGGGCACTAACTGTAGGAATTTTTGAAGAACTCAAAACCCACCTATCTCCTGCAGAGTTGGCTTAGTGCAATTATATGTGCAATTATTCCAAAAAGAGGAGGAGCCAGGTCTAAGTACTCTCCATTGGGAGACGTGCGGATGAACTGACAATTTGGAAGGGTTTACTTGTTTCATACCGCAGAGGGCTAAAGCTACGTGTCCAATTCTCATGAAGCACAATTCTCTGACTGTTTCTGTTTATTTCCACAATGTTATTTTAAAGATCATGTACATTTCTATTCATTCATAGTTTTTTTTTTCATTATTTGATTTTTATCCCCGTTAGTCACCATTCTTCTCATCATCTTTAAGTGACGTTTCAGAATCCTGAGAGGAACAATCCAGATAGCTTCATCTGGTTGGAACATTGTTTCTTTGTTGTGACTTTCAGCCAGGACATCAAAGACTTTATTTGATATAAAGATGCTGTAATAAAAGTTCTAAAATAGGAGCTGGGCATGCAGAGCTCTAGTTTATGGCTCAGTTTGGTTTTGTTGAAATGCAAACAGATCACCATGGCAATACAATTGAACTGAGGATAATTTCTCAAAATGGAAAGATAATAGAGACTGCCTCGCAAAAGGATTGATTTTATTTTCTTACTATGTTCTCCTCAAAGATTTCTTTTAAAAGGTCCAATTGTAACTAATAATTTCAACATCACAATGAATAATCTTGTAGCACCAGCAATTCTATAAATTATGAGGAAAGCTTGTAAACACGGTTTGCCTGAAATCTCTGTGGCAGAAACATTCTAATCACACGAGTGAGAAGAATACAGTGGAATCTACATGGAGCCTACAGAAAATATCCCACTTA